GATAAATACAGCACTGAATGGACTTTAAGTTCACAGATTGTGTCCAATACTTGATTACTGTCTAATCGATGGTTTAGATCCTTCATAAGTACACCACAAGTGTATGAATTGAGTCCAAATTGTGAGTTCATATACAGTACCAGTTTAGTAATTATCTCAACCATCACTTGATTAGATCCAATATGAAGACATTGTTGAGCAGTTTGTATAGAAATGATTGCAAACTGTGGTCACACGTGGTGTCCACCAAATGGTCCACCAATTCAAGAGCGTATTCATCCGTTTCGACAATCAATCAAAATGTTGTCAACGAAACCAAACTGAACTCAAAGACCATTCGCACGGAAGCGAAGGCCAATTGGATCCCATTCTCGAGACCAAGACATGGCTGCTTCACACAAGAGATGCCACAACTGGACAATCAGTTCACTTGCGACGCCTTTCTTCAGCGATATCTGCAAAGAGTTCTCCCAAAAGATGTAAAGCTTTTAAAAAGTAGTGAATTTTCAATGAAAATCAATGACTAAATGGTTGACATGTTTTCAGATGTATAACGAGATCAGCGGTGATTTGACACGATTTGGCAGTCGTGTGGCCACTGATGTCTACGAATTAGGTGTTGAATGTGACAAACATCTGCCACAACTGGTCCAACAGAACGCTTGGGGACACATCTGCAATGATCTCTATGTCTGCAATGCATGGAAGCAACAGAAGATAGTGTCAGCCGAAGAAGGGGTCGTTGCCATCGGTTATGAACGCAAATACCGGCAGTTCTCGCGATTATATCAATTCGCGAAACTCTTTCTGTACGCCCCGTCCTCTGGACTCTACTCGTGTCCCATAGCTATGGTCGACGGCGCCGCCAAAACCATTGAATCTCTGGCTCTCGACAAACAGCCTCTCTATGAAGACATCTTTGAACGGCTCACCACTCGAGACGCCAACAGATTCTACACATCCGGACAATGGATGACCGAAAAGGGCGGCGGATCTGATGTCGGTATGAATTGAAGCTATAGTTGTTTTGTTTGGAAATTAATTAATGTATTGCTGTTGAAGCCGGCGGTACTGAGACAGTGGCCGTCCCTATGGGTCGGGATATGTTTAAACTGTATGGTTATAAATGGTTCTCTTCGGCCACCGACGCAGACATCGCCTTAACATTGGCCCGAATTGCTGACGACGAGGGAAATGTATTACAGGTATAAGTCAACTGAGAGTTTAGTCCAGACTCCTCAAAGTTTGACTCCAATTGATCCAATAGTTTAGTACACATTAGTGTGAGTGAGAGTTAGAAAATATTAACTGCAAGTTAAAAACTGTCATTTTTAAATAAACCATTTATTTTAGTATTTTTATGTATAAAATAATGACCAACTCATAGAAATATATCTAATTAGTTTCTATCAGTTAAGTTCGTGAATATTTTTGAAACTATATAGAAATGTCTAGAAATTTCACATTTACAGGTCACTTTGAATATGTAAAATAGTAATGATATTTGTGTTTGTAAATACTTTATCTACTGATAATCTATATAAATTAAATGAAATATGTTGTACATATTTTTTGTAAAAAACAACTTTTGAGGTCTCTGGTTTAGTCTAATTTGAAATTTGATGTAAAATTGTTTTTCATGATTGAAGGGAACGCAAGGACTGACACTGTTTTTACTGAAAGTCAGAGACGATACGAGCAAACAATTGAATGGCATTGATATGATTCGACTGAAAGACAAATTAGGGACCCGTCAGGTGCCCACCGCTGAGTTACTTCTGGACGGCACTGTCGCTCATAAAGTATTGATTCGTGAAATCCAGTCAAAACATTTGCTATCAATTCAATTGTTTTGTTTGCTATTCAGATGTCTGAAGAGGGCAGAGGTGTGGCCGCCATCGCCAATATGCTTCAAATGACACGCATTCATAATGCTGTTGGAAGTGCAGGTTCTATGAGAAGGTAGTGGTGCTAACCATAAGATTATATGTTATTGAAATGAAGTGTTCATTTTGATGATTGGATTACAGAATAATAAGTATTGCCAGAGATTATGCTCAGAGAAGGAAAGCATTTGGCAAACCCATCAGTCAGTATCCAATTCACATGCAAACACTGGCCCGTATGGACATCGAG